TTTTTGAGACGGAGTTTCGTTCTTGTTACCCAGGCTGGAGTGCAATGGCGCGATCTCGGCTCACCGCAACCTCCGCCTCCTGGGTTCAGGCAATTCTCCTGCCTCAGCCTCCTGAGTAGCTGGGATTACAAGCACACACCACCATGCCCAGCTAATTTTTTGTATTTTTTTAGTAGAGACAGGGTTTCACCATGTTGACCAGGATGGTCTCGATCTCTTGACCTCGTGATCCACCCACCTCGGCCTCCCAAAGTGCTGGGATTACAGGCGTGAGCCACCGTGCCTGGCCTGCATTGTATTTTTAAAAATATTTTGGACTTTGCTGTGGGAGGCAGTTTAGTTACTTGGGGTCAGTTTGATTCTTTTAAGGTATGCTTTTTTTTGCTTTGTTAGGATGGGTTCAGATCAACCTTTCTGTTAGGGCTTATTTGTGCTACTGCTAAGCCAATGTTTGGACATTGCTGCTTGCTGTCTTACATCTTTCCACTTTGGCTGGAGGGAACATGGACTGGTTATTGCTCTGTGTATTCCTTTTAGGCAGTTCTTTCCATGGTGTTGGGTAGTTTCTTTTTTTTTTTTTCCCTTTTTGCCAAAAGTTTGCAACTTTTTTTTTTTTTTTCTCCCATTTATTTATTTTATTGCATTTTAGGTTTTGGGGTACATGTGAAGAACATGCAAAATTGTTGCATAGGTACACATGTGGCAGTGTGATTTGCTGCCTTCCTCCCCATCACCTACATCTGGCATTTCTCCCCTTGCTATCTCTCCCCAGCTCCCCACCCCACACCGTCCCTCCCCAGTGTTGGGTAGTTTCTTCATGCACTTACAGATTACTGCTCATCCATTTATTTTTTTTGAGACACGGTCTTGCTCTGTCACCCAGGCTGGAGTGCAGTGGCACAATCATGGCTCACTGTAGCCTTGACCTCGCAGGCTTAGGCATTTCTCCCACCTCAGCCTCCCAAGTAGCTGGGACTACAGATATGCACCACCATGCCTGGCTAATTTTTGTATTTTTTATAGAGACGAGGTTTTGCCATATTGCCCAGGCTGGTCTCCAACTGTATGGCTCAAGCGATCCTCCCACCTCAGCCTCCTAAAGTGCTGGAATTACAGGTGTGAGCCACTGTGCCTAGCCTCAGGAGAGTCTTAAGGGGACCCTATGTAGATGCTGTGAGCTCTCTTGCTGAGCAGCTGCCTCTTTGCCATTTTGCTTTCAAATTCTAGCTGCCTTGGCATCCCTAATCTCTGAACTTAGTCACCTCAAATCAGCTAAACCACTGGGTACTGTTTGCCACTTGGATTCCCATGCACTGTACTGCAGCCCTTTCTAGTCAGTGAGTTGGGAAAATCATAGAACTTTGTTTCTCTGGAAGGAAAGGTTCTTTTTGTATTGATATATTAACTTTATAACTGAAGAATACTTGGAAAATATTACAAAGGAATGTTAGCTTTGTCAGCTATCCTTGTTAGTAAGATTAACTGTTATTTTCATGCAGTACTCACAGCATTCTACCTTGATCTTTCCTCAGTGAGGGGTAAAGAGATTTTGGAGATCTCTTCTGATGATGATAAAACTATTTCTGGTAACCCAGAAATAGTTTCTCTGTTATGGGAGAAAAATGCTCAGTTGATTGCTTTCTTTTCTTTTTAAAAATTACCTCCTTCTTTCCCCCTCATTCTTGCTATCTTTTTTTTTTTTTTTTTTTTAAGAAACAAGTTCTTCTGGCTCTGTCACCTAGGCTGGAGTGCAATAGCACAGCCATAGCTTACTACAGCCTTAAACTCCTGAACTCAAGTGATCCTCCTGCCTCAGCCTCCCAAGTATCTAGGACTACAGGCATGCACCAGCATGCCTGGCTAGTTTTTAAAAATTATTTTTCATAGAGATGAGGTCTCACTATGTTGCCCAGGCTGGTCTCAAACTCCTAGTCTCAAGTGATCTTCCCACCGCAGCTTCCCAAAGAGCTGAGATTACAGGTGTGAGACACTGTGCCCAGCCTCTCTCTTTCTTGATAAATATAAATCCTAATCTTTTGTCCAATTGTTAGTTTTTCTGCTGCCACTTGAGATAGCTTCAATAATGAAAGGCTCTTGAGACCTAAATAGACCAGCTGGAATAGTTCATCCCTAGACAGTGACTACCAAGATTGTCCATAGTACCTATCCCATTGGAGTCTGACTATTGTAGCTATTCTCTTCTCTTTACCTTTGGATGTTCATCCAAAACTGGATCTTCCAGGAGGCCAAGAGAGTCTGCTTGGTCCTGATTTTGTGTGTTTAGTTTCTATGTTATAGGATAACCCTTGTACAGTTTCCTGGTTCTCTTTGTAACTACCTTAGTTTGCTTTTTCCCTAGTATCCCTTGAAGGTATTGTCTATGTTTTGCTTTGTTTTGTTTTTATCAACAGGAGAGGAAGGCAAGCCTGAGATTAATCAGCAGTTAAGCCTAGAGTCTATGGAACTTGATGAGCTTGCCCTAGAAAAGTACCCCATTGCTGCACCCCTTGTCCCTTACCCAGAAAAATCCTCTGGGGATGGAGTTGGAAACCCTGAAGGGAGAATATTAAGTGGAACTCCCACATTCAAGAGAAGGGTCATAAGCCTTTTAGTTACCATTGAAAACCACACGCCATTAGTAGAACTCTCTGAATGTTTAGGACCTAACACACTTTCTGAAATTCTTGATTTTCCCTGGGAAGAAGCCAAAAATGTGTACAAATGTCCTGAATGTGATCAAAACTTCAGCGATCATTCATACCTGGTTTTGCATCAGAAAATTCATTCCAGAGGGAAAAAACATAAATGTGGTGACTGTGGGAAGATCTTCAATCATAGAGCCAACCTGAGGACACACAAGAGAATCCATACGGGTGAGAAACCTTATAAGTGTACCAAGTGCAGTGCCAGCTTTCGCCAGCACTCGCATCTGTCCCGACACATGAATAGTCACGTAAAGGAGAAGCCCTATACATGTAGCATATGTGGTAGAAGTTTTATGTGGCTCCCAGGATTGGCGCAGCATCAGAAAAGCCACACTGATGAAAAAGCCTACGAATCTAAAAACTGTGATAAATACTTTGATGAGAAACCAAATCTTGCTTTGCATGAGGAGACATTAATATCAGGCCCCCAGTATCAGCACACTGAGTGCATGAGGAGCTTCAGGCAGTCTTCATATCCTGCCCTTTCTGAGAAGAGCCATGCGGAGGACTCTGAACGCTGCAGCAGTGATGGGGACAATTTCTTCTCATTCTCAAAATTCAAGCCCTTACAGTGTCCTGACTGTGACATGACCTTTCCTTGTTTCTCTGAGCTTATTTCCCATCAGAACATTCATACGGAGGAAAGGCCCCATAAGTGCAAAACATGTGATAAAAGTTTTGCTTTGGACACAGAACTTGCATGCCACCAGAAGAGCCACACGCTAGAGGAACCTTTTAAATGTACTGTGTGTGGGAAGAGTTTCAGGTCGAATTTGCATCTCATTACTCATAAGCGAACCCATATGAAAAACACCACATAAATATAACAGCTTGTTGTTAGTGATTGGGCTTTTCAGTATCTGTATGGTGGAAAGCAGTTACTGTATATGTCCCAGGCAATGTGCTAAGCACTTTACACGCATTCCCGTGTAAAACTTAATTCTCATCCCAATCTTGATTTAGGTAGTACCATTTCCACTTTATAACTAGGGAAACAAAAAATCCATGTCTTAAAGCTAGTGAATGAACCCAGGATTTGAACTGAGTTACTGTTCAACTATGAGCCAGAAAAAGGTAGAAAACTTTCGTTTAACTTCAATTTTTATTAAAATGAAGGCTTTTGCTAGAGTTCTTTTAATTTTGTTTACATAGTTTATAACTTTTAGAAGGAAGAGAATTTATTTATATTTTGCCAGTTCTGCAGATATAATATTTAGGAAAGTAAATGCTTTTATATGTTTTATACTTTTTTTTTTTTTTTGCTATAACTATTTGAATGTAATGTTTGTATAAGATTGCTGTTTTACATGTGTATTCCCGTAGGAGTTTAGAAGTTTTTTTCTGTCCTGTAAAAGTTCCCAAATGGGTAGACTAGTTTATATCTTGATGGCCATTAGTAGCCACAGAGTTCCCTATCATAATTCTGATGCCAGGGGCAGGTACTGGCATTTAGGACCCAAATGTTTGCAAGAAGTTTTGGTGGAGTCTAACTGTAGCCCTTTTGTGGAGCCTGGACTTGGGGAGGGGGAGGAGTACTTGCTCCTTTCTAAGATTACCTCTAAATCACTACCTAAGCACATTACCTGTCTTGCTATGAATAATTGTAATTGTTTCTCAGTATGGTAGCTACTTTAGGGATATTATCTAATTTAATCTTCAGAATAAATCTGTGACTGAGAAAAAAAATACTTGTTTCATAAACGAAACTGAAGTCTTCAAAGGGTAAAGTGAATGCTTTGCCTAGCACACAAATCACATTGTGGTGAAGCTGACATTAAGCCTGGGTCTCTCTGACTACAAAGGCCATGCAGTCCATGAGCCTACATCATTTATTGGCATTTGTACCACATAGTAGCACTGCAGGCTGCCAGGGAGAGGGGCCCTGAGATAGGTAGCTGAGGTTGGTCATCATGGAGGCGGTTCTGCGTGCTCGCATCCTAGAACCTTCATTCTCTTTGTGATGTACCCTGACTTAGATATACAGTTAAAGAGCAGCAGAAGACTCTCCAGGACTTCGAGTTTGAACTCTTGTCCCTGTAATCAGATAAGAGATTTCACACTTCGCAGAGTACAGTTCTGAAGGTCTTAAATAGGGTTTGTTTGTTTTTTTAAACCTATAACATTTCCTCTCCATCTCCAAAGAAAATGCATATAAAAAATTGTTAGATTTTAACCAAAATACTTGACAATATATATTTAGATACTGCTATTATAGATAAATATTGGAGCAAAATATTGTTAAATAGTATGGTTATTAATGTTAAAGAACCGCAGAATGTTGTAAATACACATTTATATAGAATTTCTCATTAAAGTTGATTGTATGCTTATCAGCAAAACAGTATTTACATGGGATTTGATTAGGATGGAAGAATGCTTTCATTCTACTTAAATAAACAGTATAAAACTGCAATATTTGCTAAAATTGAATTGTTTCTGGAAATTCTAATGAGAAAAGATAAAAGACTCTTGAAGACTAATTGTATGGAAGTTAGCAGAAGGTGGTCCTACAGAACAGCAGATTGAAGACTCAATATACAAAAAGATGCTGGATACTCAGCTAAGCTCTTACTACGGAGTAGAGGCAGGAAGATACTGTTCAGGTCAGAGGAAAACTGAAACCAACATCCCCAACCCAGAGAGTTTCTCTCTCTTTTTGTCATTCTTGTCTTGTTTCATGTTTGCAGATCCACAGTTGAGACTATGTGCTGCTCTGTATGTCAGGATCAGACTTGGCTCTTTGTTTCTGATGTCTCCACTCTTAGGAGACAGGACACTGGCTTTCAGGTTTCTCTGAAATGCTTTGAAATGTGTAGAAAGATAGTCTCGAGTTAGGTTTCTTATTAGCCAATTCTGAGATGTCTTGATCTTTGTTAAGTAACAAGAACACCACCTCCTTGCTCTCCTGCTTTTGCCCTCAGTGGGAGAAACTGGCAGGTGCCTCAGCACTTACCGAGGACTCTAATATTTCAGTCAATGATCTAATGAAGAGTCACAGGATGGGGGATGAAATTGGGAAAGAGGTCTGGATTAGCAGAGTTGCTGCAGAAAGAAGTAGAGGGGCATATCTTAGAAGACACTTAGACAGAGTTGGGCTGATATAAAAGATGGATGCTGTCTTTTTTTTTTTTTTCTCCTAGAAAATACAGCAGAAAGTGAGAACTTGTCCTGTTCTACACCTATGACGGAAGTTTGCCTTTCCACATGAATCTTTCCTTCACAATTAACCTCTCATATTTTGGAGTTTTATTTATTCTCCACATTTTGGAAGATTATGACAAACTTCCCTAAAAATTAGAAAAAACACCACTTCTCAGAAACATTAACATACATGTGGGTATAACTAAAATGGCTTTTTGGTATAATACTATTAATGATTGGCATGCAGAAAAAAATGAAAAAAAATCCCTTAAGTGTCAGTTACTGTGAAATAGGTATATTTTCAGTTGTTTGCTTGTTGTGCACTTGTACTTAAATAAATTTGCTGGATGTAATTCAAGCTGGTTTGCCCCCAGGGACTTGAAGGAAAAGATGTATCTGCTGGTGAGATTCAGGTTTTTTATGGTGATGGCTTTTTCTGCCTTCTGTTTATACTGTCAACTGATGTAGATAAATTCCATAAAATTGTCATTAACTCAGAGATATTAGCCTACCATGTTAGGTGCGATTCACAAATACTGGATAAAAGTTAATCTAGGAATGAAAAACTAAATGCAAGAGTTTATTGCTATAATGATGGGTTAACTGCATTTTGCAGCATGGAATTCAACACACTATGAGAGTGAAAACTTTGTGCTGAAGAAATTGACTCAGACAAATTTCTTGGCTTTTGTTGTTGATGCAATGATGAAAATGTGTATCTAACAGTTCCTTAATATGATTGCTGGAATATTACATTCTGTTAAACAGTTATTACAGCATTTTTCCAATGGAATTCAGATGTCAGCAGTTTACATTTTGTAAATTAAGAAATTGTGGAATGTAGTTGTTGTTTTTGAATGAGGTGGACTCAAAATAGTTTTATTTAGAGCTTTGTTGCTACAGGTGGCAGTCTATTGACAGCTCCTCATTTAACATAGAAAATGACTAACCCAATAATTCAGGGAGCTAAAACTCAGTAAATGCCATTTTGAATCTTTGTCTCCTGAGTTTCCATATAATTAAGTGGCTGCGTTCAAGTGACTGCAGCATAAGACGTCATACAGTCTGAAACTGCAGAGTTTGATCAAAGTAATCTGCAGTTTACTGCCTTTGTGTACAACAGGAGACATAGCAGGTTATAGTTTAAATGAATAGTCTATTTTGAATGTTCATAAAACTTGTTATCCCTGTGGGATTTCAGTAGGAAAGTGTTTTTGCCTTGACCATCTGTTTAACAAAATGATCTTCATTAGAAGTGTATATATTCATCTGTTTTAGTTTTGTAGTTCAGGAGGGCTATTGATGTGATTCAAAGATGACCATTACCCATCTTTCCGACGCCCATCTACGTAGTAAAGGTGTTTTGTTTTTTATTTTGAAATTGACATTCCTCTTTGCATTAAGTCTGTGGGGGAGGGGGGAATACAATATAAATATTCATCTATGTAAACATAAGAATATGCTGTAATCTCTAGTTACTTTGGATACCTCAGAAGTTTGTTTATTGTATACGTTTATACTGTTTGTTTAATGTTTTGGTTTTACTGTTTTTGACGTATTCTCATCAGTCTTAGCTCTATATTGTAAGCTCTCAAGTTATTGATCATGTTTATGTGCAATTTGGCATCTAATAAATGCTATTTTATGATGATGGCAATGAACTTTTTTTTTTTTTTTTAAGTGGTTTTAGGTGGCAATAAGGTGAATTTTGAAGACTGTTAGGATTGTGGTTTAGAGAGATTGAGTGAATGACTTCGTGCTGCTTAATAAAGAAAGTAAGGCCGGGCGCGGTGGCTCAAGCCTGTAATCCCAGCACTTTGGGAGGCCGAGGCGGGTGGATCACGAGGTCAAGAGATCGAGACCATCCTGGTCAACATGGTGAAACCCCGTCTCTACTAAAAATACAAAAAATTAGCTGGGCATGGTGGCGCGTGCCTGTAATCCCAGCTACTCAGGAGGCTGAGGCAGGAGAATTGCCTGAACCCAGGGGGTGGAGGTTGCGGTGAGCCGAGATCGTGCCATTGCACTCCAGCATGGGTAACATGAGTGAAACTCCGTCTCAAAAAAAAAAAAAAAAAAAAGAAAGTAAAATCGCTTCCTCCGCGAAATTAAACAGAAAATTCCGGCTCATTTCGGGAAGCTAGTGCTGGACTTAAATTTCCTTTCGTCTTCACTGTACACAGGAGTACAGGGGCAAGGATCTCTGTCTTCACAGGGCAGCTACTGCCTGATGCGGGTTGCCATTTACAGCTGGGAGTCCAAGAAGCGGATGTGGTGAGCAGGATTCCCAGAAGGCCTCGCGTGGCCTCAGGGAGATACCAGGTCTCCAGTTTGGCCACCAACCGCATGGGTCAGCGGAAGTGCCAACGAGATGACATGCGCTACAGCGGCCCACGATGCGGAACCGGAAGTCACAAACCACTTCCGGTGCCCGTTTCCGGCAGCGCTTGCGCATTCCCGGGGCAAGTGGGATGTGGTGAACGGTGGAGACCCAGCAGTGGGGTTTGGCCGTGTGCCTGGCCATGTCCACTGCATATGGCTAGGTGATCTCCATATAAATCTAGTGGTATGGGTAACAGCGTTTGCCGAGGAACTCCGCAGGTCCCTATCTCCGCATCATTAGGAGAGTAACAGAGGTGTGACTGTCAGACACCAACACGAATCTCCATCTGTGATTCTAGGCGTTAGGACGGGAGAAGCAGCTCTGCGCCACCTTCCCAGCCCTGATCCCACTTACGCAATGTGGAGCTGTGGGCCTGTCTAGCGAATGTGTCTCTGGCTTGTTGAAGTGGATACTTTGTACTTCTCACTTGTGCTGGGTAGAGAATCTTTTCTTTACAATCAATACCAGTGTCTTAGGCTTTTGTCATGGTCTGCAGCCAAATTCTAACCTGCTTCTGGTTAGCTGGAATGTACCCTTGGCTTACCTTTGGTAAATGGTATCTTCCCAGGTGCACTTAGCCACTCATGGCTACAAAGACCTCACTTTAGGTCTAGCTTCAGTTTCTCTTCTATGTGCTCCAGATTCCTATATTCAAGTGCCTACAGAAGATCGTCCTTTGGATATCTCTCAGGCATCAAAACACATGCCCTTAACTAATGCTTTTAGCCCCTGACCTGTTTGCCTACAGTATGTGGGGCTATATCCATACAATAGCTCATACTATCAACAAACACCCCTTCTTTCCTCTTGCTACAGCTTGAATATTTCTGTACCCTAAAAATTCATGTGTTGGAATTATAACACTTAAATTGATGTTATTAGGAGGTGGGGCTTTTGGCAGAGCCCTCATGATTGGGATTAGTGTTCTTATAAAAGACTGCAGGCCTGGTGTGGTGGCTTATGTCTAATCCCGGTGCTTTGGGAGGCCACAATGGGAGTATTGCCTGAAGCCAGGAATTCAAGACCAGCCTGGGAAACGTAGCGACACCCCATCTTTACAAAAGAATTTATTTAGCCCGGTGTAAGTGGCTGTCACTTGTTGCTTGTAGTCCTAGCTACTTGGGAGGCTGAGGCAGGAGGATTGCTGGAGCCCAGGAAGTCAAGGTTGAGCCTGTGAGGACCCAGCAAGAAAATGCCATCGTTGAAATGGCCTTCACCAGACAGACCACCTTTATCTTGGGCTTCCTAGCCTCTAGAACTGTGAAAAAAAAATGTCTGTTTATAAGCTACCCAGTTCATGGTATTATAGCATCCAGAACAGGCTTAAGATATCACATCCCTTCAATCATCAAGTCTCATGGATTCTACCTCAAAAGTATCACCAAAACCTGAATGTTTCTGTCCCTACTGTCCTCATCCTATCCAACAGTATTCACCTGGGTTACCTGAAATAGTCTGCTGATGACTTTTATATCACTCTTGTTTTGTGTCAACATAGCTAACACATTCCCATTTAATAAAATAAGCTTTATGGCCAGGCGCAGTGGCTCACACCTGTAATCCCAGCACTTTGGGAGGCCAAGGCAGGTGGATCACGAGATCAGGCGTTCAGGACCAGCCTGGCCAAGATGGTGAAACCCCATCTCTACTAAAAATACAAAAAATTAGCCGGATGTGGTGGCAGGGGCCTGTAATCCCAGCTACTCAGGAGGCTGAGGCAGGGAATTGCTTGAACCTGGGAGATGGAGGTTGCATTGAGCTGAGATTGTGCCACTGCACTCCAGCCTGGGTGACAGAGCGAGACTCCATCTCAAAGAAATAAAGGAAATATTATGAAATCACTTGCTCCCCGAAACTCAGCAGAAAATTCCAGCATTATTGCAGGAAGACGGCACTATATGTTGATCTTTTCAGTCTTTGCTGCACAGTAGTAGAGGGCCAGGTACCAGATAATTATGATTATCTCATTGTCCAACTTGACATCTTTCATTGGCTTCCCATTGTCCTTAGGGACATTTACATTTTCAACATGACCTTCCTAGTCATTACTTCCCTGCCAGCATCAATTTCAGCTGTTCTTTTTCTCTCACCTCTCTCCAGCTACACATTCTCTCAATTCACCAAATATACCAAGCTCTTCAAGAATTGTGCACATACTTTTCCTTTGACTTGGAACACCCCCCTGAATTCCTACATCCTTCGTTTTATCCTTCTTATAGCAATTACTATGCTTTTAACTGAATAGTAATTATGTAACTAATAAAATTTCATTTTTTCTCTGGGGGCAGAGACCAGGAACATGATAGATGCTTAAAATTATGCACTGAATGAAACTAACATGGCTCTGTCACTTTTATAGTGTTGGTTTCAGCTTAAAGACTGTCAGAGAAGAAAGGAGAATAGACGCTGGTGCCATCAGTTACTAATAGGCAGGAGGTATAATAACATACCAAAGAAGATGTAAGGAGTTTAGGAAAAAACTAAGAAAGCTTAGTTTTTTAGGCTAGTCTCGAACTCCCAACCTCAGGCAGATCACCGGAGGTTGGGAGTTTGAGACTAGCCTGACCAACATGGAGAAACCCCATCTCTACTAAAAAAAAAAAAAAATTAGCCAGCGTGGGGGGACAATCCCGGTAATCCCGGCTACCAAGGGTTTTGGGGCAAAAAAATTTGCTTGCCCCCAGGAGGCAGAGGTTGCAGAGCGCCAAGATCGCGCCATTGCACACCACACTGGACAAAGAGTGAAACTTTTAAAAAAAAAAAAAAAAAGGCTGGGTGCAGTGGCTTACACCTATCATCCCAGCACTTTGGGAGGCCACGGTGGGCTGATCACGAGGTCCAGAGATCAAGACCATCCTGGCCAATGTGGTGAAACCCTGTCTCTACTAAAAACACAAAAATTAGCTGGGCCTGGTGGCATGCGCGGTGAGCCACCAAACCTGGCCAGAGGACTTTTTTTTTTTTTTTCTGAGACAGAGTTTCACTCATGTTACCCAGGCTGGAGTGCAATGGCGCAATCTTGGCTCACCGCAACCTCCGCCTCCTGGGTTCAGGCAATTCTCCTGCCTCAGCCTCCTGAGTAGCTGGGATTACAGGCACGCACCACCATGCCCAGCTAATGTTTTGTATTTTTAGTAGAGACGGGGTTTCACCATGTTGACCAGGATGGTCTCGATCTTTTGACCTCGTGATCCACCCGCCTCAGCCTCCCAAAGTGCTGGGATTACAGGCTTGAGCCACCGCGCCCGGCCCCAGAGGACATTTTAAACAGGTACATGAGCACATTCAGTGGCTGTCCCTCCTCCAGGGTCAATGCAGAGCAAGCAGACAAAAATGCACTATTCTGGCTGGACACTGTGGCTCATGCCTGTATTCCCAGTGCTTTGAGAGGCTGAGGCAGAAGGATCACTTGAGGCCAGGAGTTTGAGAACAGCCTTGGGAACACACAAACACCCTGTCTCTACAAAAATTTTTCTTAAAAATTAGCCAGGTGTGGTGACATGTGCCTGTAGTCCTAGCTACTCAGGAAGCTGAGGCAGGATGATCGCCTCTGCCCAAGATTCAATGTTGCAGTGAGCTATGATGGAGCCACTGCATTTTAGCCTAGGTGGCAGAGTGAGAACCTGTCTCTTAAAAAAAAAAAAAAGAAAGAAAGAAAAGAAATAAAAAGAATTTAAAAAGGCAGTTCCCAGTTTCTCCCTAAAAGGGATTTGTCTGTACATTTTCCCAACTGCATTAGGCTACTAAGTAGCCTGCATCTAGTAGCTGATAGGGCTGGTAAACAATAGACCTCTAGGAGCGTGAACAGGCATGTGGGAACTTCACTATTATTCTCCCCTCTTCTGCTATTCCATTCAGAGATAAAACTAGGGGCCAGGCATGGTGGCTCATGCCTGTAATCCCTGCACTTTGGGAGGCTGAGGCAGGTGGATCACTTGAGGTCAGGAGTTCAAGACAAGCTTAGTCAACATGGTGAAATCCTGTCTCTACTAAAAAATACAAAAAATTACCTGGGCATGGTTCGGGGGCGCTTGTAATCTCAGATACTCGGGAGGCTGAGACAGGAGAATTGCTTGAACTTGGGAGGCAGAGGTGGCAATGAGCTGAGATCGTGCCACTGCACTCCTACCTGGGTGACCAAGTGAGACTCTGTCTCAAAAATAAAACAACAAAAGAAAAAAACTAGGTTTCTAGCTTCTTCCTGGATGGAGTATCCCAACTTTTATAGCTTCCGTACAACAGACCAACTCCTAAATCACCTGTCTCTG